AGATTTTAAAGTTATGGGTGCTCGCCGATAAAAACTTCAAAAGAAGAGGAAAAATAAATTTACTTGTGGGTGCTCATTTAATATTTATCTAAATATTTGTATTGTTGCCTATATAAATTAATTAATATGGTCAAAGTTAATGGGTGCTTAAGCACCCACAACTCTCTATGTGCATCCGCCACTGTTTATAGCAATAACTACAAACTTAAGATTAATTTCTCCCAAATATTATGAAACGGTTTACTCCTTCCCTCTCTATTTATTTGATATACTTTTATTTTTAGTCCGTTAAAGAATGACACACTCTACATTTGAAAGTAATTAACCTTGCATTTTCTAATTTATCCTTAATCACAAGTTTTAATAATCAAACAAATATTATGATATGTTTAAGATCATAAATTTCAAAGGTTCAATAGCTACATAAATGTTATGACATATTTATATCACAAGTTTAAAGTCTTTATTATTTTCTTAAACTTCATTTCAACATAAAATATGTCACATAAACTGGACTAGAGAAAATAATATTTAAGGAGTCAAACTCAGAGCCGGGTGGAGCCTAAGGCCACTAAGGCAATGGCCCCCAAAATACTAAGGGCCCCAAAATCTATAAATAATATTAAATTTTGCACTATTGATGGAATTTTTAAATTATTTGATTAAAAAAGTTATAGCTAAAAGTTTTACACATCTTAAATTGTAGTTACTACTTATTTTCTGTCTTTAATTCGTCCTCACTTAAATCGATCTCTCACAATGTTAGTTTAGAATAATTTTTCTTAATTCTTTGAGTGTCTTTGTAGATATTTTTCAAGTTACCTTGATAAGTAACTATTAAAATTTGTCCCACAAAATTGTATGACTCTTGAAACATAGTAGTTACTATAATATTATTTGTTTCAACTTATATTAAAAGTACTAAAAGAAAATGTATAAGTAGAAGATCTAACATGTTTGGCCAAGCTGCAAAAATCAGTTTATTTGGCGAAGTGTTTTTTCTCAAAAGTACTTTTGGTGAAAAGTAGTTTGTGTTTGACTAATTAATTTGAAAAATACTTATGAGCAACAATTATTATTTGACTAGGCTTTTAAAAACTACTTCTAAGTGTATTTTCTCAAAAATAGTTTTTAAAAAAGTGCTTTTTAAAAGAAGCTACTTTTTTTTGCTTCTCCAAAACTGCATATGCTTCTCCTTAAAAATACTTTTTTTTTCTTCCAAAAGTTTGGCCAAACACATCAACTTTGAAAAAAAGTATTTTTTTTTAAAAGAAGTGCTTGTAGGATTGGAGAAGTTTGGCCAAACAGGCTAGAATACTCTAATTGGCAAACTCAATTAGGTAAACAATGTTAATTCAATTATCGCTAACAATTTCTATATCAGTTGCCTCGGTAAAAATAGTTTTTCAAAACTAAATCAATAAAGCTCAACATGATTGTCACACCTCCTTTTTCCGCGCCCGAGGGGGCGCAGGGGAGTTTTTTCCAATTAAAGGNAACACAAAAGAGATTAAACAAATTGGTTAGACATCAACAATAATTAAAACTGATTATAACTTCTTTAGATTTTGATAAATTATAAAAGTAAAAAATAATAATTAAAAAAACTTAAGGCCTCACTTTTAATTTTCGCCTTAGGCCCATATTATGTCGAGTCGCACAGTCAAACTCCTGTTCCATGATTAACACATTGTTAAAAAGCTTTTCTTAAATATTTTAACTTTAAAATTTCTTATCTAAAATGCAATTTTTTCCCTCATACCAAACGAGCCCTAAGTTATTTTCCAACCAAAAGATCCCTCAATTGTTAGCCTTCTATATATCATACAAAAGTAATAAGAGGTTTTTTAACCTTTATCCTTAGGCCTCAATTATGGGATTAATTATCCTTTATCCCTCATACCAAACGAGCCCTAAGTATTCTTTCCGTCTCAATAGCAATTTTCGAATTTCAAAAGTAATAAGAGGTTTTTTACTGCGATCTTTTATATGTTTTTTTTAATATTTTAAATTATTAATACAACAACGACCCATTGAAATCCCACTAGTGGGGTCTAGGGAGGGTAGTGTGTAGACAGACCTTACCCCTACCCCGAAGGAATAGAGAGGCTGTTTCCGAAAGACCCCCGGCTCAAGAAGACAAAAAGACAAAAGGAAGACAATATTAGTAACACCACAACAATAATATGAAAAACAGGAACAACATAAAATCAAGAAGAAAGATACAAAGCAAAAGTAAAATAGTATCCCTACCAAACTAGTCTCATAAAGTTATGACATAAGGCAAAACTCAACTACCTCATAACCTACAACCCTAATACTCGACCTCCACATGTCCCTATCAAGTGTCATGCCCTCGGAAATTTGAAGTGTCTCCATATCCTGCCTAATCACATCTCCCCAATACTTCTTAGGCCGCCCTCTACCCCTTCTCGTGCCCTCCACAACTAGCCATTCGCACCTCCTTACCAGAGCATCTGGGCTTCTCCTCTGAACATGCCCGAACCATTTGAGTCTCGCTTCTCGCATCTTGTCATCAATGGGAGCCACACACACCTTCTCCCGAATATCATCATTCCTAATCTTATCCATCCTAGTATGCCCGCACATCCACCTCAACATCCTTATTTCTGCTACCTTCATCTTCTGGGTATGTGAGTTCTTAACCGGCCAACACTCAGCCTCATACATCATGGCCAGTCTAACCACCATTTTATAGAACTTACTTTTGAGTATCAACGACACTCTCTTGTCACACAATACTCCAGATGCTAACCTCCATTTCATCCATCCTACCCCAATACGGTGTGTGTCATCCTCGTCGATATCCCCTCTCCCCTAGATAACCAACCCAAGGTACTTGAAGCTGCCTCTACTCGGGATGACATGTGATTCAGGCGTCACATTCACGCCCACTTCCCCCTGCTCAGTGCTGAACTTACACTCCAGGTATTCCGTCTTCGTCCTGCTAAGCTTGAAACTCTTAGATTCAAGAGCCTATCTCCAAACCTCCAGCTTCTCGTTAACACCAACTCGCGACTCGTCGATCAGAACTATGTCATCGACGAACAACATGCACCATGGCACATCCCCTTGAATGTGGTGTGTTAACGCGTCCATGACCAGGGCGAATAAGAACGGGCTGAGCGCAGAACCTTGGTGTAATCCCATAACAACACGAAAAGCGTCAGAGTCGCCTCCTACTGTCCTAACCCGAGTCTTTTCCCCATCATACATGTCCATAATCGCCATAATGTAGGGAACCAACACGTCTTTTGCCTTCAAGCTTCTCCAGAGAATTTCTCTAGGAACCTTGTCATACACTTTCTCTAGGTTAATAAACACCATGTGCAGGTCTTTCTTCCTATCTCTGTACTGTTCAACCACCCTCCTAACAAGGTGTATAGCTTCTTTAATAGAACGACCGGCATACGTTTTAAATTATTAATAGTGACTTATAATACGTTTTATGTAGATCTCAAATGCCTACGTTTTTATTTCAGAAAATGAAAAAGTTTTATGTCCGAATTCATGATGAAAATAAAAAAAATTGATTCTCGAAATCTGACTATAACTCATAAATTGGGTAAGTGGGAGTAATATATTATCATGATTTAATGCTAAATAGACAGCCGATCCCTCTAACACGGTCGAGATATTACATCCGTTCAGAAGATAGGTTGAAAAGAAAATATAGGAGGGCAAATTTGAAGAAATAAAACTCAATAATTGGGCACTTGAATTTGAATCCCATGACTGTTGATCCAAAAACCCAAAAGACAGAACAGAGGACAGTACCAGATGGGATCCAATGCAATACCACTCTGTCTTTTCATAGGAGTATTACATTACCTTTACCTACACTTTTCTTTTAAAAAAAAGGTCGTTCATAAATGTTTGTAGTATTGTTTGTTTGTACACCAAAACAGAAAAGAGAGGACAGAGAAAGAGATATCTTAAGAGCACTGACTTTTTAGATTCTTTGTCTGCTTGTTTGTGGTGTTATTTGAGTCTTTTTATAAAACGGGTCGTGCCTTTTTAGGGTCAAATCCATAAGCACTTGGGTTCCATTCTTGTCAATAGCCAAAATTAGGATTTTGAGTTTGTCAATTCTAAATTTAGAAAAGATAAGCTTATTAATTTGGAGAAATTATTTATATAAATTGATAGCCCGTTTGGTCATATTTTTATTTTTTTTAACTTTTTCGATTTTCTTTTTTAATTTTTTTTTCGAAATTAGTGTTTGGCCATAACATTTTCAATTTTCACTTGAAGATAATTTTTAAATTTTTCAAAAATTTGAAAATCTCCAAAAAAACTATTTTTCAAAATTTTCATTCAGATCACTCACAAAAATTAAAAACAACTAAAAATTATATTCATGTACAAACACAACTCTAATTTACAAATATCATTTTCACTTTAATTTTTTTTTATTACTTTTTTCGGAATTTTACAATTCTTATGTCCAAGCGCCCACTAAATAAATGTTTAACGCAAATATTAGATCTGAGCTAAAATTATTTAATTTTGCTAAACCCACATGCATAAATGTAGCTTCACCCCTGGACGTAGCGAAGGGGATTCGAACTCTTTCCACCGTAAAATTACACTAAGTCAAAATTATTTTTTTATGTATATATAGTAGATATAGAATGCCAACTATTGGGAATATACTAAATATGTTGTTGTTGTATAGTAGATATTGAATATTATATTTATTTTTTATATTTTGAACAACTGAAATTCCTACCTCCACCACTAATTCTTGTAAATTCAAACAAAAACTGTATCATTTTTTTTGTTCCCACGTCCCAAAGCGGGAAAAATGGAACACAAACACAACTGTGGTCGTGTCCTATTGTTCTCTTATTTTTTTGAATTTCAAAACCCAACGGCTCTTTGCACAATGTAGTCAAGCAGCATAAACCTCGGTTACCCACCACCCCACTACACCCACAACCCCATATCTAAAAGAAACCTCATTAAAGTTGCAGTCTTTTTCTGTTTTCAAGTCATTTTGATAAGAAAAAAGTCATTTTTACCTCATTAATAGTGTGAGTCTGTGTTAAATTCTTTTCCCTTCAAAGTGAAGCATTAGTTTTGGGTAGTTAACAAGAACTTTCTCTTTCTGCTTTAACTCTCTTTTGTTTCTTTGTTGCATTGATATCTACACAAGTATTTTTACTTAAAAGTAGTACTACTACTTGTTTTGACTTCTCGAAAGTTGAAAGCTTTGTTGTCTAAAAATTTTCTTTATCTCTCTGCAAACAAGGATAGCTTGTTTTCTTGAACAGAAACTGAAGTTGGGTTTTTAAGAAAAAACAAGAAAATGGGTGCTTCTGGAAAATGGGTGAAAGCTTTGATAGGATTCAAGAAGTCTGAAAAAGAAGATCATGTAAGCTCAAATCTGCACTAAAAATTCAATCTTTTTACATGTACAAAGAGTTAACTGTTTGTGTACATTTTTTTTATAGGAGAAGGTGAGTGGAAAGAGCAAGAAATGGAAGCTGTGGAGGAGTTCATCAGTGGATATTGGAGGGTCTACGTGGAAGGGATTTAAGCACAGAAATGGTGGTGTTGGGTCAGAAGGGTCAGATTCATCATCAGTGAACAATGAAGCTTACTCAGCTGCTGTAGCTACTGTGGTTAGAGCTCCTCCTAAAGATTTTAAAGCAGTGAGGGAAGAATGGGCTGCTATCAGGATTCAAACTGCCTTTCGTGGTTTCTTGGTATTCACTCTAATTCTACTCTCTTCATTCCTTCTTTCTTGTTCTATTTTGTGCTTAAGATTTGTGTACCCTGTGTAAGTTCCCCACTTCTTTTATTTGTATATGCTCCACTCTTCCAATCAAAGTTCTATTATGTCTCAAAAGCTGCTGGTTAAATATTTATCCTTTCTCATGGGTATGAGCAGATGTATGCTATAGGTAGAGGGATCGCCGGCACCCATAGATAGTGATATATATGTCACTGGGGTCACTAGCACCCTTAAAGTTCGGCAAGAATTTCATATGTACATGTATTATGTCTTTAGAAAATAGTTACTAATATTAGTAGTGACAAAGCAAGTTTTGGTTGAATCAAAAAGTGCACCTGTGACCTTCAAATACTGGGTCTGCCTCGATGGCTTAGAAACATGATTCATGATGGCCTTTTCCCTGAATAGTTGTGTTAAAGTCGCACGGTAGCTCAATAGCTCTTAATTCACTGTTAAGAATGGAATAGTGCATTAATTTATTGGTGTCCTGAGGTTAGATTTAACTAGCAAAATGCTGATGAGAAATGAGGGAAATGCACTTTACTTTGAAGAACATATATATCATGATATACAGACTTGTTAAGTTATTAAACTAGCAGAAACTCAGAAATTTTCTATCTTATATTTTTTGCTTAGTGAGCATGGGATAAGAACTCTGTATATCCCAGCATGACATCTTTTATTTAATAGTTTACTAGTCTAGAATACATGCATCAAATTCTGATTGTTTACAGAAATCTGTTTGTCCAGTATTTGATTCTCTTTGCTGATAAGAATGATACTTGTCTTGAAAAATTATATGATTGATCTGCTTTTTTGTATATAACTTTGTAAACAAGGGACATTTAGTTGTGTTTATTCAAATTGATCTTGATTTAGTATTTTTGAATGACAATTTAGGCAAGAAGAGCATTAAGGGCCTTGAAAGGATTGGTAAGGCTTCAAGCACTTGTTAGGGGCAGACAAGTAAGGAAGCAGGCTGCAGTCACTCTTAGGTGTATGCAAGCTCTGGTTCGGGTACAAGCTCGTGTTAGAGCTCGTCGTGTCCGTATGTCTATAGAGGGGCAAGCTGTACAGAAGATACTAGAGGAACACCGTGGCAAACTTGATCCTTTGAAAGAAGCTGAGGTACAAAACTACTTGTCTTTCTTGTCCTTTTTGCTGGTTGTAAATTACCTTGACATATTTACACTTTTTTCTAATTCCCAGGAAGGATGGTGTGACCTTAAAGGAACTCTTGAAGAGGTTAAAACAAAGATACAAATGAGGCAAGAGGGAGTCTTAAAAAGAGAAAGAGCACTTGCATACTCTCAAGCTCAAAAGGTCAATTCCATTTAGAAAGCAGACTAAATTGACTTTTTCTTGACCTGTACTAAATGATTGGATGCTTTACTTAATGCAGCAGTCAAAATCAAGCCAGAATTTTGATTCTAGAACCACTATCTCGGTTCCATCTCTCAAAAATCTTGATTATGATAAGAGTAATTGTGGATGGAGTTGGTTAGAACGTTGGATGGCAGCGCGGCCATGGGAAAACAGATTGATGGAACAAGCTTATAACGATTCTTTGGAGACCACACCAAAGGCTAAGGACAATCAGTTGAAGACATCTGAACCTTGCTCTGTGAAAGTGAAGAAGAACAATATGACCAAAAGGATATCAGCAAAACCTCCGTTGGTGATAGGCCACACTACTCGTTCTTCATCAAGCCCGAGTTCTGAATTCAGATATGATGAGAGTTCAGCTTCCTCTTCATTCTGCACATCAACAACGCCAATATCCGGGAACACAATGTTGGCATCAGATAGGACTGAAGACAGCAATAGTAGTCGACCAAATTACATGAGCCTAACTGAGTCAACGAAGGCCAAGCAGAGAAATCAGAGAATCCTTAGACAGTCAATGGATGAGTTCCAGTTTCTTAAGAACTCTGGCTTACTTAGTAATGGTGACTCGAAGAGTTGTGCTGGTTATGACAATATGACAAGGCCTCTTTGTCTTCCTACTCGAATGGATAAATTATCTAGACCAAGGGACAAAGAGAATTGTGCCGGTTTTGAGTAATCAAAGAATGACTAGGCTTATGGCAGCTCTTACAACAGCTTGTTGTTGTAGAAAAAAATCAAAAGTTGGTGTTGGGTATGTTTAATTTTTCCTGGACTTAGTTTGTGGGTTGTCATTCGTAGTATGTATGTTATTATGTAGATCATCTCCTCTATTATCATAAATTTACTGAGATAAGTTGATCATATATTGACTGTGCGCGACTATGGATGATTGATGGAAACCAGAAACATTTAAGCAATGATTCACATTTTTTGTGTCATAAAATGGAGTTACATTCAATGTTTCTATTTTGAAATGCCAATCTGCATTTGAAATGGTGGAAATTACAAATCTGTATTTTAGTTCTTTCACAGATGTACTGGATTCAGTTCAAGATTGAGCTCTCACCATTTCTCATCTCTTGAATCATTAGTGAACTAGATGGTCATGTTGGAAACTTTCATTTACGCTTGATGGCACAAACCTTGACTCCATGCTTATAGTTAAGTACTATACCATACTCAAGTTCCAGTGGCTTTTCCATAAGGGGAGAGTGTCGAAAAATGTACTTGCGATATAAGTGAATCAGTGAGAGTTTAAGTTCTTGTATGGAGAACTTCTGTCCTATGCATGCTCGCGGCCCTATTCCAAATGGAATATTTGCATAAGGATGCCTTTGTTTTTCCTCTTCACAGCTTGGATCAAACCTCTCTGGTCTAAACTTCTCTGGTTCGGGGAAGTTCTTTGAATCCTTAGCAAGAACTCCAAGAGCCAACCAAACCCATGTGCCCTGCTTAATTATTAAAAATATGGTAAAAATAATAAACATGAGATCGATTTAAGTAGAACCAATCCCTTCCCTCTCCAATCCATTGAAATCTAACTCTTGGAAGAGTTAAAAAGATAATCATTATAGAGAAAATGGATATGAACCTTAGGAAGTTTATAGCCTCCGATCTCCACCTCAGCTGATGTTTCTCTGGCAACTAAGGGTGAGACGACATAACACCTCATTGCTTCTTTGATTACCTAAAGTTTGTGAACAATTACAAGAAGAATGAGATTGTCTTTGCCGACATTCTGCCTGTAGTTTTTTTAAGAATTTATTAGAAGATTAAGTAAAGTTTTGGCACTCACCTGATCAAGGTATGGGAATTTCTGCTGAAGCTCAATGGCAGTGAGTATGTGATCATTAGGCCCAAAAGCATCTATCTCCGTGAGCAACTTCTGCTCAACCTCTGGATGGCCAGCAACCAAATAGATAATAGAAGACAATGTAAAGGAAGTTGTTGCAGAACCAGCCAGTAAGTGCTCATAAGTTACAGCACTGATATAATCTGAGGTGAAAACATTCTTAGCTAACTTCTCTGACTCCCTTGCCTGCAGTATAAGCGATAAGAAGTCCTTTGAACTGCGATCTTTTTCCTCCATCCTCTTTGCCACTATCTCATCTAACCTCCTGCTTAAATTCTTGTTTGTTCTTTCTACTTTCCAGTCCATAGTGCCAGGAATTCTCTTGAGGATTTGGCGGAATGGCTCTTGAAGAATCGGAACAAGCAATCCCAATATGATTGAAACAGAACCTGATAAGTCCATTTTGAGTTGTGTTGTGGAGTAAATGTGCTGATTGATGAATTCTTGGACTTCACTGTCATTTTGCTCATGGTTCATTTTGTCTGATATTGGTTTGGAGAGTCCAAAATCCACACCAAAAGCAGCTTGTCCAATTACATCAGTAGCTAACTTGAGGGAGAGATCAGAGAATGTGAGATCTCCCTCAGAATCAAGATTTTTAGTTGAAGACTCGATAAACGATTGCATGATTGGCACTAACTTAACAAGGTAAGATGGCTGGTAGACTGATAGAATAGTGTTTCTCATTGTTGACCATCTGGAGTCCCTGTAATTAACATACCATTAGGTTTCTTCTAGTAGAACATCACACTTTCCATTATGCAAAATTAGAATCATCAAATATGGTGAGCCTTGGAGCAATGATAAAGTTATCTCCGTCTAACCTAGAGGCCACTAGTTCGATCCCTGGAATCAGCCATTGATGTTTACATCAATGTGGGCTGCCTACATTACACCCCTTCGGGTGCGGCACTTCTCCGTATCCTGCGATGCATCGGGCTGCCCTTTTATTACTGTTAGTTTTTATATAGAACCTTGGAAATGATCATCTAATGATGGCTAATGGCTCCCCTTGAATAAGCCTCATCAAATCATTTTGAAGAGATTGGCCAATTATTATGCAAAATGCTCTCTATTTGAACTACTTTACCTAGTAAAAAATAGGCCTTTCTGATGAAGAGGGGATGCTGCAATGGGAGATGGGATGCTTCTATTTGGTATGTCCTTGAATTTCTTTATTCCAACTTCTCTGCATAGCTCTGCATCTGCTACTATAACTAGTGGCTGTCTGCCCATATGAAATCTGCTCAAGAATAACAAATAGAAACAACTAAGTACCACAAAGATAAACTGATCAAGAAATGATAATAATGAAGGCAAACCTGAAGATAGGACCATATTGTTTGGCAAGGACAGAGAAGACATCAGGGCCATATTTAGCCATCAAAGGAAGGTGTCCTACAAGGGGAAAAGCTGGAGGACCAGGTACTTTTCTCACACGCCAATAAGGTCTATAGAAGTAGACCAAAACACCAGCTACAAAGGCTAAGATAGTGCATATTGTTGAGACCAAAGATGGTGACTTTATTAGTACTTCTGCAGTGTTTTCTATTGATTGTAGAATGGTTTTGCTTAGGAACTCCATATTTGTTTTTTGATGGAGAAGGAGATCAAATGGATGTTTGACTATATATGAAACAAATATTCCATATATATGCATATATGTTTAGGAGAATCTTTAAATTAATGGGGTTGAGCCGGCCTTGTTTTTTTTTTATCTATGATCAAATCATGTCATGAGTTGTTGGTCTTTGTTCTTAATGATGGCTATGCTTAAATGGTGGGGTCCTCTATATTTGATTTTGCACTTTCAAGTGCTGATATTTTTAATTTAAGGAAGGAAAAATATAGGGAGAGTGCCTAATGAAGCTACTAGAAAAGGCGAAACTTCATTTTGGATTGATACATAAAATAAATCTGTTTTTGTCCGGACAAGAGCAGATGTAGAGATTCTCCAAATACAATGTTTGCTGTGATGCCTTTTGTGTTTTCATTGTCCTTTTTTTGAGTGGAGTCATGAGCCACTTAATGTGAAGAAT